TGAATTTCACCCCGTTTGTGACTGTTGTGTTGAAGAGAGAAAGTGTAAAGCTAAAGGGAAACATTTGAGGGGAGGATCGGTTCCCTAAACTTTCGTCCACCTTATGAAATGGTTTTGTAAAAACATGGCACCCTCGATAGTCAAGAACCCCTCTGGCTATGAGTCTTTAGGAGCGAATGAAAAGGGCTCATCATCACCCGGTCCCTCAGGACCGAAAAATAACTGCTTTTAGCGGTATTCAATAGGAAAACGAGGCAGCTGCCTTCGCTCTAATCAATTAGCGTTTCCTTTTGCAGAATACGTGTAATGACTTCAAATCCAATCTGTGCATTCAAGTAGACGCTTTAATCGAGCAGCTTCAAATGCGAAAGGAGCAATTAATGAGGCATGTGGATGAGCAAAAGGACCAAAAGGTAAGGTTTTATGTGAGAAATCAAGCAACTCTGCTCCCATATGGAGTTTCCAAAAAAATGAAATTTTGAAAAGAAAAAGTCTTTTCAAACAGTGGGGCTCCTTGAAATCGGTACAATCGATGATTGAAAGGGCTAGGTTCTCTACCTGATTAGAAATGGGTGAAGATAGCAGGGCTAAAGGGTTTCACATATTTTAAAAATTTCACAACCCACCACCACCACTAGCCTTCTGAGGCTCCTAAATATGACCCTGCAACCCCCTCCCCATCCCCCACCACCCCCTTAGGCCTATGTCAAACTTTGTGCGATCGATTCGCAAAGTCTGACACCGGCCTTATCACCATGGCTGTTTCTGTAGTATTTGATTTTGAGACTAGTTCAACTCCAATCACATTTTTCTCCAAAACATCCGTCGAGAGAAGGAGGGGGAGTAAATATGCCCAATCCAGGGAAATCCTCTGATTTTTGCTACGTCTTGCTTCTCCATTATGTCTCCCCAAAATCGTCAGAAAACCCGTCAAACAGCCCCCCCCTCTGCTACCGTCCCAACCTCTTCAACTTCCGCAAATACGACTACCCTTTCGACCTTTTGACCTTGACCAACACAATATATGGCCCCCTCTTCCTCCAGAAAAAAACTCAGATACTAGCCTCCCTCCCTCGTAGAGAACTGTACAACGTACGGTTGACCCTGTATGGAGGTTTACAATTCCCATAGAGGTTTTCTTGTGAAGTCTGCCTGCCAACGTCCTTGAAAGAAGTCCTGCAAGCTTATCCAAAATTTCCTAGTGGACAGCGAAGGCAGTTGTTAATCAGTCATAGTTGTATCCAGACTATTCTGCACAATTTTTTTTTCAGAAATTTTGATGTCATGCACCCTTGTGATAATATTCAAATACTATTTTTAGAAACAAATATTACGAGAGCAAATCTCGCGTTGTACAGCAAAACTATCGCGGACTACCGGCCTTATTCAGTTTTGTATTGAAGCCTTGAAAGAGCCGGACCCAGCCACATATCTGCAGGTGAGCCGGTTGTGTTTGTAATGCAAACTTTCAGTCCCGAAGAATTGTTACCCGCTCTTTTTGGGCCAGCTTCAAAATGGCCAAATGCACACGCAGGCGACCTTCTCGGGCTCCATAAACTCGCTTTGTGCAGTACCATTTCAATAGCAAGTTGAGCAACGGCTCGAATGCAAAAGGATAGAATAGTCCACCCTTCTGGGCCATAACCTCCTATTCTATTTTTAATCGTAAGCATCAAGAAAATTGAAGGCATCACCAACTTCTGCTGTCGGAAAGGTGCATCTCTTCCAGGGTCCTCGTCATTAAAAGAAATCGCGATTAAATCTCGGTTCAACGATCGTTCCCATTCTCATTCCATGTTTAACTCGTCAACATCTTTCCGCACTATCGAAGTTAATTCCAAACAGATTCATAACTAGCATTTTGGGCTGGTTTTTATTAGCTATCCCTTCAAGGCGCAGGAAGAATTTGATGAGCGATAGCTCTCCTATAACCCACTGCTACTGGCGATATGTTACCTCCGCATTCTCTCATCGTTCTTGGTATAGGGTGCGAGCTCGTGACTGACAGGGCAGTTACAGGGTTCGGACTATAGGTACACACAACAGAGGAGGTAATAAAAGTACCGCATGCGAAGGGAATCGTCTTAGCTCTTTCAATCTCCACCTCCAACACACCATTTCCAGTCATTACAATTATCGCTACCCAACATGGTTCTTATGGGACGAAATCGCCTTTTCTCTATAAGCAAAACAGGATTCATATGCTACTACGAATTTGAATGCAATCAGTGTGCGCGGCGCATCCTAAAAATTTACGGACCAACTTCGGCTTTGATCCTTCCCACTTACTGCTAGATTTTTCAATTACACGAACACATTAGACTAGTATTAGACTGCCAAATATTAAGAACTGGAAAGTGATAATTTTCATCTTTATCATTGCAGCATTCGGCCGCTCTTCTTCATCGCTCCACGAGTCAAGAGTTCTTGTGGCATCGTGAAATGAAGACCAAACCAGATGTCGATCCTGATTTTGTGCTGAACCTCGACACAAAACACCTACAGTACTCCATTCAGACGCTCGACTTTGCCCAGCTCAAAGGTGTGCAAGCTTACGCTGGAATTTTCTCCCATACTAACCTCGTGATTCTAACCCACTACGGCGCTATCGCAATATACGGGGGCATCTTCTGAGGCTGAACCTTGGAGGGTAGGAATATCGGGAAAATGAAAATGGTTCACGCATTCTGGGGTCTATCCTCCTCCACCTAAAGCTTGGTGTTGTTTTCAACACAAAAGGACATGTTTCAAAATTTTAAGCGTATTGGCACCACAACGCCCCCATATTTTGCGATAGGAAACACGGTACCCGACAGGAGGCCCGTCGCGCGGCAAGAAGGCAGAGTCAGCGGACGAGTCGCAGCGCGTGATGTGCGATGTAGGACGTGCAATGGTACATTCTATTTAACTTGACGCGAAATCACTACAGTACGCGCGCGACTCGTCCGCTGACTTGCCTTCTTGCCGCGCGACGGGCCTCCTGTCGGGTACCCGTGCTCACACTACCTCTCTAATATCCACTAAGTGATGCTGTGTCGGTTACTCATCATCTAATTCTCCTTACTTCTCCATTTAGCCAATCAGAATTCTCGTGTGAAAGGAGACTCGTCGAAAGGTACGGTAGCAAATGATCGTGATGGTGTTTGTAAACTAGAGCACAATGCACTGTTTCTTTGAATAATTCTATTTATGCATGAAAGACGAGTCTTTTAGACGATTCTTCACCGCACTCCTTAGTTGATTTTCATTTCAGCCAACGCCTACCATCGCTCTGGAAGTTCTCCAGGTAGAGTTCGCGTGATAAGTAATATACAATCGTTTTCAGTGCCATCACCTCCGATGATCGACGCGGCAGAGTGCTCAGCCGAGAATAACTCGGTCACAGTGGTATGGCGACCACGCCAAGACGGTTGTGCCATCGACGGCTATAGCCTCGAGATTGACACCGGCAGGGACGACGGAAAGTACAAGGTGAAATTCGAGCCCTTTACAGCAAAAACTGCCAGTGTAAAAAAGCATGGCTCAGTCACATTCCTGAGATTTACTGAAAGGATTTCCTGTGAACTGCCTAGTACTTTGAACTGTGCTAGCATGCCGGCTGAAACTTCGAGGGGTCCGCTCTTATATGACTGACATAAGATCGCATCATCCCTCTCCCAGAACCATCACCCTCTCAAAATAAGTTCAATCTGAGGCTAAGAACTTGGGTTTACTCAAACAAACATCAAAGCGCCCTTAGCCTCATGCAGCCCTGAACGTCCTTTTTTTCTCAAAATGGATCTCCTTTTTATTGAGCAAATGCGAGGGCACGGTAAGGCTGTTGAAGTCGATTTTGCTGGTCTATATTTAAAAAGTAATGGCTCATATCGTTCTACCGTGGAGCAAGGAAGCATTCCAAGACTTCATGATCGTGGCTTTGTGGTACCGACCAGAATCGACTGTGCGGTGCCCGATACTGACAGGTGAGGGTAGGGGTCGTATCTGGGGTTTTGGAGAGAGGTCGTGCTTTGGTTTGTGCGTTCAGGTGTAGGTTGCAAAGGAGCCAAGGTGTGAGATTTCCATAGGGAGTCGTGTGGGATCCTTGTTGCAAGGGGAATCAGTTTTGATGATCCTTGGCAGCTTGGCACAAAACAGACGGAATTGGAGTTCTTATCGGACATATCGCTCCTCCCGGTAGAGTAGAAGTGTGTTGACTGTCAGAAGCGAGGGCCCCATTTAGGGAGAGGCGCCCAGCGCAGGTAGTGTAGGTGCGGGATCATTTTGAGGTCCCTCAAGATGGGATCGTGAAGCTCTCGGAATCTGCCCGGTGAATCCCCTCCCTGTTTCCAAACGTAGAACAACTTGTCAAACCATTCTCTCTCTGCTTTATTCTGTTCAAAAATCTTATTGCACATTTGCAGGAGGTGTACTGCGGACGTGATACTATTTGTACAATCGACGGACTTCACTTCAATACCGTATACACAGCTCGAGTGAAAGCTTTCAACGCGGCTGGTGAAAGCGAATACAGCGAGCCGATTTGTCTTCAAACAGCTGAAGGTGAGCTTGCACTGCCTGACTGGCGCTTGATGCGCCTTTACTGATGTCCCTAGTCCTTTTATGGACGATCTAGGGCTTATTGGCACCGGTCTGGCCCTTTTGTACTTAGGTAGCCTAGAATTCCTCCCATCGGCGAGAGTCACCTAATGTTCCTTTAGAGCGACATCCGTAAAGGCGACATGACATGACGATGGACTGCTGTATCGCTGCTGGGAGGCATTTCGGAGTACGATATCCCAAGTCATCCTCTCTAGCCCTAAAAAAAACGAGGAAGACTTTAGAGCTGAGCCACACATCAAACAATTTTCCACCCCTGACGGGAGTAAAAAGGAACTCAGCGTGCCACTTGCAAACCACCCTTTACTTTCCCATGATTTTCTAACGAAGGCGTTTTGTTCGCCGCGTTGGAAAAATACAAAGGCATGTTGATATTTTCAAGTGAGCGAGACGAGAACAATGAGGATTTCGAAATCGACAGATATGAAATTTTCACCGCAATTGTACTTCAGAGACAGGAACAGAATGCATTCATTGGCGTTGATAACTTCGATTTTTTGAATGCGCCGTCCTTTTGAACAAATTTCGGAATCGTGGGGACATTATTTATTACAAGAAACTGAGTTATAGGAAAAACGCTGGGACCTAACCGGGATAAGAACCCGGGTGTCGCACTTCCTGAGCTTTTCGGGTAACTGCACCATGCCTCATCTTAACCCATTGACGCACAGTTGTTCTTGCTTTGCGGCATCCTTTTTTATGTTTTTTTTTCATCAGTAATGGTTCACCCTTTAAAAATTCAGCCTCTCATAGAGGATGCATATCTCTTCGGACCTAATGGCGCACTCGGGGGCTTTAGGACACGAAAAAATGCCAAATAAGTCAACCAAAACAAGCCTCGTCCGTGTAAAAATGTAGCTAGCAGGTGAGTCACGCTGTCCTCAGTGGGTTAACTTAGCTTCCAGCACACAGTATGATTGCATTCAACCGCATCCTTGTCGTGAACCTGAGCAGGGCGCCTTTGTTCACGCCGGAGTTTTTGTTCCCTCATGGGAACCCGGCAAAACATCTGCTCCCGATGGAACAGCTTAGTGGAGCAAGCTAGAACCTTCTACCCCCGTTCTCGTATCCGATCATGAAACAGCCAAAACATTTTTCAATCAGTGGAATGCATCTGCAAACTTCGCTTTTTCAGTAGCTTGGTTCCAACTGACAAAGTCACCTTCACAACGCGACATGCAGCTTTCAAACGAATGCACCTCGTTGACGGGAACAAGTCTCGAGTATAGAACGATCCTTGGCTCGATCGCCTTTTCGAAGG